GGATAGATAATATATTTATAATTGCAACTTATGCATAAATTTAATTATTGATAAAATGAACAATATATTTATAAATTACTTATATATGGATACTATAAATTGAGCTATAAATTAAATGCTATTATTGATTCTAATTGAAAGAAAAAAGTACTTTTTTTATAAGTATATATAACTTCCATAAACTTTTTGTGTGGATTAATAACTTATATATAGAGAGAGAAAGAGTTGGGATCTTATGAAAATGATATATAGTGAAAAAAACTGAGAATAAATTTTTACATTGGATCAACGATATCAATGGTCATGATCAAGTCAAATTTCAAATGTGACAGTCAAACATGTAATGACAATTTCATAAATAAGTGTACATTTCGTGGTGAAATGTATAATGTTGACCACTCATTAAGGACATTTTTATTATCTCACACAATTCCCACTCACCACCTACCTTGTGGGTCCCACCATAACTCTCTCTCTTTCACACACAAATACACACACACACACAAACACACACGATGCACACACATACACACACACGCGCGCGTTTTTCACACACAGACACACATGTGGATCACATCCGTCTGTCGCCACAGTCAACAGCTCCCCGAGACAACAGCATGCCTCCTTCCAGTCGCCAGATGTTGTGCTCGTCAATGAGATCGACCCTCCCGGTCGATTCAGCTGTTGATGAAACTTAAGTGGTCGAGGACGGCAGCGTGGGGATATCGGAAGCAATAGAAAGTGGTCAATGAATGGAGGTCCGGTGGCCGCAGAGGAGGTTGATGGCGCGACAGAGAATGAAGATATTGATGGAGTGAAGGAGGTGGTTGACCATCACGGTGGATGCGCTGACAGCAGTCGATATGGCGTCTAACCTCTGGTCACGGTGATCAGCGGTGACGGAGATGACTGTGACTCGTGAGACAATCGGGCATTTTTCAGATTTTTAATGGAAGGGCTTCATTTTGTAAATTTGATAAGTCCTAGGGTCTTGATTGCAATTTTAAAACTTTTGATACAACTTAGTTCATGGATCAAATTTATAATTAATCAAACTATAATTAATATTTTAATATTCTTTATTTAATATTTGAAAATAGATAAATGTTACATAAAAATATAATAAAATGATAGTAATATTTTTTATACAATTTGGACGTCCGGTTATTTCGATTATGTAAATCATAAGAAAAAAAAACACACATAAATAAATAAACTGCAAACAAACATACTTGACTAAAACACCATTATGATTCAAAATGGTATTGTCAGAAACTGAAAGTCGAGCTGTTACAGTATACCCTAATAATCTCCTATTTATACTCTATAAAGCTTTCTGCTATATTAAGTATACATTCTTTCAATCTAATTCTCAAAGGCTAATCTAACTAGTCACCACGCATCTGACTCTCATTCCTTCTACGTGTCGATCGAAGATCCTCACCTGTAGGCTCTTCGTAAGAGAATTTGTCAGGTTGTCTTCTGACGCTACCTTGGCAACGACGACTTCCCCTCATCCAACGATACCTCATATCAGGTGGTGCTTGCGTCGTATGTGTTTACTCGCCCCATGAGTATGTGATTTCTTCGAGTTTGCTACTGTCCCACTATTATCACAGAAAACCGTTATCGCAGTGCGCGAACTCGGTACCACGTTAAGGTCATATAAGAAGTTCCTTTCCTTCGCTGCCTCTGAGGTCGCAACGTACTCGACTCCACGATAGAGTCTGACACGCATTTCTGTTTGACATTCCTCCAAACTATGGCTCGACCTTGATTTACATTCATCCCGGTGTGACTGAAAATCACAATCCATGTACCCCAACAGCAAAACTCGTCTGCTAGGTAAACTAACATGTATTCCTTAGCCCTTCTCAGGTACTTGAGTATATGCTTCACCGTAGTCCAATGCTCCAGTCCTGGATTACTTTGATATCTTGCTACATACCGTGCCCACGGCATAACAAATATCTGGTCGTATACACAACACCACATACATAAGGCTTTCTACTGCTGATGCATAAGTAACTGTTTTTCATGTCCTCTATCTCCGGGTGTCTTGGGAAACATCCACTTAGACAGAGGGATTCCATGATGAAAGGGAAATAGCCCTCTCTTGGAATCCTGCATGCTGAAATGTGCCAAGACAGTATCTATGTAAGAGAATTGAGATAAGCAAAGCATTCTCTTCTCATGTTCCTAAATGACCTTTATCCCGAGAATGTGTCATGCTTCTCCCAAATCCTTCATATCAAATTACTTGGACAAACATACCTTCACGTCTGACAACATCTTCACACTGTTTCCAATGAGAAGAATATCGTCTACGTATATCACGAGAAACAACACCACGTTTCCATCATTTTTTTTGTACACCAGTGCTCACCGGACATTTGGTAAATCCAAACGATTGTATAACCTAATCAAAACAGATGTTCCAAGACCATGACACTTGCTTCAGTCTATAAATGGACTGATTAAACTTGCAGACTAGAGGCTATTGGCTTTTTTAATGAAACCCTTTGGTTGTTGCATATAGATATCTGCATCCAGATTCCCGTTAAGGGAAGTTGTCATGACATCCATCTTCCAAATCCCATAATCCATATGAGTGGCAACAACCAAGAGAATCCTGGTGGATTTGAGCATAGCTACCGGCTAAAAGATTTTTTCATAATCGATACCCTCTTTCTGAGTATACCCATTCACAATACGCCTAGCCTTGAAGGTCTCAAATTTCTCATCCAATCCTCTTTTTCTCTTATAGACCCATTTGCATCAAATTAAGGGAACGCCAGTGGGTGGATCTACAAGATCCCAGACCTGATTGAAGTCCATTGACTCCATCTCAGTCTCCATCGCACATTGCCAAGACTCAATCTTGGAGTACCTCATCATAGGTCCATGGGTAGATGTCATGTCCATTTGGGACGGTCTTAGAAGACTCTCCCAGAAACATGAACCAATCGGGTTGCCTGACAACCCTCTCACTACGACAAGGTACTATTGCTCAGGTGCATCATCGGTGACACATGTTGCAGTATCATGTGGTGTAACATCAAGTGCACGTGGTATTGAAGTATCAACCCCTTTCATCACCTTTAAGACATGTGTACTAGTTGACTTGTGATCTATGACATAGTCTTCTTCAAAAAATCGATCGTTCGTGCTAACGATCACCCTCTGGTCCTCGGTACTATAGAATAAACCTGCCTTCGATTCTTTGGAATATCCCACAAACAGCCTTACTTTCGAACATGGTTCCAACTTACTAGCATCTGCCCTCGCACAAGGCTGGACTACCCTATATACGGAGATGTCATAGACTAGGCTTACGCCCAGTTCACAAATCCATGAGCGTAGATGGCACTAATATAGAAGGTACAAAGTTCATAATACAAATTGTTGTTTCTAGGGCATATCCCCAAAACGAGTCTGACAAGCTACTATAACTTATCATTGCCTAACCATATCCAAAATAGACCTATTCTTCTATTCTGCTACGCTGTTCTGTTTGGGCGTACATGTCGCAGCCAGTTGAGACTGAATCCCATTCTCCAATAAGTAGTTACTAACCACACCCGAGAGATATTTGCCACCATGATCTGATCGTAATGACTTGATACTTGTACCTAGTTGCTTCTCCGCAACTGCCTTATACTCCAAAATCTTCTTGAAGCATTCATAATTGCGACGCAACAGGTAAATGCTCGTATCTCGAGTAATCATCAATAAAGGTAACGAAGTACTCGAATCCTCCTCTCGCCTCGAGTGACATAGGACCACATACATCACAGCAAACGCGTTCTAACAAATCTTAGGCTCTATGCCCCTTTGCTTCAAAAGGTCGTTTAGTCATCTTACTTTCTTTGCATCGAGATGCTCATATAGCTAAAATTTTGACAAAATAGAGTTCGTCTGCTTAGTCAATTACTCGTTCAAAATCATATGCACAATCTACATTTTCGCCCCGTGATTAGCCCGCATCGAGCCCGTGATAATTTGGCCTTTATTCTACCATTAATGATTAGTGTACCTTATTTGATGATTTTTTTAAATTAATATACTAATTTTGATGTGTGCCAAAAAGGTGGACCTTTGTTGGAAAATGACCAATATAATAGACTTAAAATTAAATTTTGTTGGCTTATTTATCTAGACAGAGCTTGGGAGTGCATGGTTCTTCCTATTCCTTTATAGTGTGACAACAGGGCTACTTTACACATGACGGCTAATCCTGTGTTTCATGAACGCATAAAATACCTCGACGTTGACTGTCATGTGGTGCGTGATCAATAGAATGGAGGTCTCATTTCTCCACAGCATGTGCTTTCATGTAGTACATGCAAGTTGCTCTGCTCACCCAACTGTGTTTCCAATTGGCGTGCGTCTTCTGGAATGTGTGTTTTCTACTTTATCGTTTTCTGTTTCATGTCGCTTTTGTTTGTTAGTTTGCGTGGTTTTTCTTTTGCTACGTGTCGCGCTATTATTTGCTTACCTCAAGCATGTTAGCATGTGAGCTTGAGGTATTTTATTTATTTGTTTTGTTGGACAAAACTAGTAAGCTCATTTTAGTGGCAGGATTCATGAACAAAATTATTTGTGTTCACATCAATATTTCTTTGCACCATATGATATGTAACAAAATATTTCTTGTGGACCTCCATCTTTTTCTCTATCCCCTTTTTTTCTCCTAATCATCCACTCAAGAAGACTTGAATTTTAGAACAATTCAATTAACAAGCCCAACACCCCTCCCCCCCACCCTCTCTAACAACTTTTGTTTAGACTAAACAACAAAAAACCATCATTTTCTCTTTCCAAAAACAAAAGAAAACCATTAAAACTTAGACAAAGCCTAGAGAATACAGATATTTGTTCCATATTTCCTTTTCTCTCTCTCTTTCTCTCATCATTGTAATATTATATGAAGAACATGTAAAGAGAGAAAAGTGGATGAGAATCAATTACATAAGAGAAGCAACCAAGATTTGTAACTAATGGCGAATCAAATCACTACATACAAAGATTTCAACCCAAAAGTACGTCCGGTTTCAAGGCAATGGTACAGTGAAGGAGAGTTACAGAGAAGAAAAAGAGTCGCCAAATATAAATATTATTCGATTGAGGGAAAGATGAAGAACAGACTTAGCAAAGGGTTACGCTGGTTTAAGCATACATGCTCTAGAATAGTGCATGGGTTCAAAGACTAAATTTCAAAAATTCTTCATGCATGCAAAATATTACAGGTCATTTTTTTTCTTTTGTTAGAATGAAGGCAAAATAAAAATCTCTGTTCTTTGATTTTTCTCCTTTTGCATTTCTTTTTTTGTATTTTTTTCCTTCATTGTAAAAGAAATTGTGTATCAAGAAACTGACATAATTTGTATTACGCATATTGGAAGCAGTATTAAGTCTTTTTGTTGCGAATAGATGGATTTCCACATCATGTATATTGAAAACAATACTAAGTCTTTTTGTTGCAGATAGGATGCTTTGTGTTGGAATATCACTTGTGAATTGTCCCACATTGATTCTACAGGAAAAATAAGCCTAATATATAAGCCTAGTGGGTCACTCCTCCCATCATCAATTGATTTTGGGATGGAACCTCACTAAGGTGTACCTAGGCTCACCCTCTTATGGTGCGCTTTATCTGATGGGACCGCACCCTTTCCCCCAGATTATATAAATCTAATAACATGAAATTGAAACTAAAATCTTCAGGAAGTGGTCGACCGGTGAGGTCTTCCCATGGCTGAGAAAGGTCAGGTGGCTTAGCGCTGCAGTGGCAGAGATTTTGTGGAGACAGATTGACGAGAACAAAATTATGGATTGGGGGGTGTCTTATTGAAAATTTGATAAATAGTATGGACTTAATTGCAATATCAATAGTTTTATATAAATTACAATTTAGTTCCTAGGTCAAATCTATAATTTAACAAAAATTTCAAAAGTTTGGAATATAGTTCAATTTAGTCCATGGGCTAAATCTACAATTTATACAAAATATATAAAAAAATATTATTTTGATATATATTTTTTTACATACATATATAATATTTTTTGTAACCACAAATAATATAAAATATTAAAATACAAAATATATTTTTGTATAAAAAATAGTTGCACTTTGAGTACACATTAGTGTTAGACGGATTGCACATTAGTGACTATCAAATTGCACTATAGCGGTCGAACGATCAAACAAAGTTTTGGGTTCGAATTTTATATTTTGGCTCGATTATTTGTGATTGCTTTAAAAATTTTGATTTTCTCAGTTTGATGTCAACTTTAATTAATATAATCGAACCAACCAAACTATATAAAAAAATATTATATATATAACCAAAAATAATATAAATTATTCTCTAAATATATTAAGTACTTTATAATATAAATTATTTAGGTTAGTTCGGTTAACCGATCAAATAAACTCGATTATTTCAATTTTAGTTTAGTTTGGGATAAATTATTAAAAAATAACTACAATTTTGAGTACACATTGTGTTAGATTGATTGCACATTGATGAACGCCAAACTTCACTTTAATGACCAAACTAAATTCGTGTGCTCGAATTTTATATTTTGGTTCTATTTGTTGTTGCTTTTGCAATTTTAGTTGATTTGGTTCGAAGTCAACTTTATTTTTTAAAATAACCGAACCGATCAAACTATAAAAAATATTATTTTTAGATATGTATATTTAGGTCTTTACAACAAAAAATAAATATAATATGCTAACTAAAAACATTAAATACTAAATATATTTTTATAATATAAATTATAGATTATTTAGGATAATTCAGTTAACCAATTAAGTAAACAGATTATCTTGTTTAAGTTTAATTTGGAACAAATCATTAAAAAATATTTGCACTTGGAGTGCACATTAGTGATTGTCAAATTGCACTATAGCGATCAAAAATCGACCGAACTAATTTCGTTTGTTCGAATATTATACTTTGGTTCGATTATCTGATGTTACTTTTAAATTTTTGGTTATTTCAATTCGAGGCCGACTTTATTTATTAAAATAACTGAACCAACCAAACTATGTAAAAAATAATACATAATAACATAAAATATTAACTAAAAACATTATAATATTAACTATATTTTCATAATATAAATTATAAAATATTTTGATTATTTATCTTAGTTCAGTTAACCGATCAAATAAACCAATTATTTTGGTCTTAGTTTGGATTGTGACAAATAACTAAAAAAATAAAAATAACTGCACTTCGAGCGCACATTATTGTTATACAGATTGCATCTTAGTGAATGACATATTGCACTATCACGATTGAAACCAACCAAACTGAAATTTTTGATACCAAACTAATATTTTAGTTCGACTATCCATTTGGTACATTTAAAATTTTGGTTACTTCGGTTCGATGTCAACCTTATATTTTAAAATAACCGAATCAATCGAATTATGTAAAAAATATACTGTCTTGTTATATATTTTTCATTACATTACAAATAAGTCCCTCTTGTTCATTTAATTTTCAAAAGAGACTCATCTTGTTTTGAGATTCAGAAAACAAAGCATGTTTGTATACAAGAAATCTCAAAAAGAATAAAAAAAATAAAAAAAAATCAACATTTTAACTCAACCACTTTTTTTAACTCAACTTTAACTCAACCCCACTATCATCAATATTATCAATATACTTAAATAATATTAATCAATCATTCATACACACCATATCAACCTTAATTCACTATTCATCCACTCACAATATTTTAACTAACCATCACATCAAATTTTTAATTATTTTATTTTAAATATTATTTTAATATACCCACTAACAATTAACCATACTAATTTTATCATAATTAACCAAACCAAACAAAAAAATCCAACAAACCAAAAATTTTCATATCAGAACATGCTCCAATTTTTTATTTTTATTTTTTATTTTTAAAAAACGCAGTTCCATCTTCCATATGATTTCCAGACGCCGGGGATGAAAAGTCGGAGTTCATGTTATACTTCTCGTCCGACTCGGTGGCGATGGCGGATTGACGGTGGATTATCGATTTCCGGTTGCCGGTGAATCTTGGGGTTTAATTCGTCGGCTCCAAGATTGGGGCGGTTATCGATTTGCGCGGGGCAACCACACGCGGAGAAGCTGAGGCGGTGAACGATATGATTCCGGTAGTGTCCAGCGACGGGATCGACGATTGGTGTAAGTTCAGCGGCAACGGGAAGGTTAATGAATAAGTCCGACGGCAGCTGGAAGGAAGGATGATGATGAAGTCCGGCGGCATTGAAAAGGCTGACGAGGAAGTCCGTCGACGACGGGAAGGTTGATGAGGACGTCCGGCGGCAGCGAGAGAGTTGGTGAGGACAGTCGGCGGCCGGTGTCGTGTGTGTTTTGTGGCTGTGAGAGAGAAAGAAATGGGAAAGAGATGGGGGACGTGTTGGTGTGTGGGGCCCACAGCTAATTTATAATGATGTGCAATCTCTAATTTGTCCCTACTAAGTTGTCAAATGCCTACATTTGACCATGATAAGATCACATATTTAGGGGGCGATTGTATATGAATTCTACAGTAAAAAACCAATCAAAACTCAAATTTAATTCAACTTTAACTCAACCCCACTATCTCTAATATTATCAATATAATTAAATAATATCAATCAATCATTCTTACACATCACATTAACTTTAATTCACTATTCATTTACTCACTTAATTTTAACTAACCATCACTTCCAATCATTTTCTCCTACTTTTATATCAAATCAACTTTAATTATTTTATTTTAAATATTTTTCTAATATATCCACTAACAACTAACCATACCACCTTTTTTCAAACTTAACTATATAGTTAAGAAAAAACCAGTTTTTTACTAGTTGAATTCATATCCAATCACGCCCTTAATGGTCCAAAATTATTCTTATTTATATCACTATCTCTCTTTCTCATATGATCATTTCTCCAGATACATATAATATTTATAATTTATTATAAATATAAAAGTAGTCGTGTTATTTTTGAAAATTAGATTATCTATTATAATTTTGACTAATGGTTAAATTTTATTTTATTTTTATGATTTTATTATAATTTATTTGTTAATTGTACAATAAAAAAATTAAATACTTAATTTTTAAATGTTATATTATTAAATAGAATATAAAAGATATGTTATTATATCTCTTTATTGATTCAAAAAATAATATAATTTTTTTATAGTTTTTTATTGTCAACTTTAGTTAATAAATTATTTATTAAATTATAATTAATTGTGAAATGAATTTATTTTATTTTTTCATATGAAACGAGATGAGTCGGGTAAAGCCAGACTTGAATTACTCGTTTACCCGACGAAAATCCACTAACCGCCGGGTAAAATCCAACCCGAACCCGAATATCGCTATTCGGGTAACGGGTCGGGTTTGGGTAGGGCAAATTATATGCGGTTCGGGTTTGAGTTTGTCAAAACTCGTACCCGACTCGACCCATTTACATCCCTATTGATGTCTGATGATGAATGATTGATATTATTTAATTATAGTGAAGAGATTTAGTTGAATTAAATTTAAATTAAATTTTGAGTTTAGAAAATAATTATATTAGGAGATTTAGTTGAATTTTTTTTTTTTTTTTCAAACGGCAATTATATTAATAACTTAAAAACTCAAAAGAGTACAACCGAAGTGCCAAATGACACACTGGAACCAGAAGACTGGACCAACCCCTTGTCATCACACGCAAGGGGTACAAACTCCATCAAGGAGGCAAACAACCACAAAACAAAACTCCAAAAAGCAGACACAGCTGCACTAAAAGCAGACGAAGCTGCACTGAAAGCAGACGAAGCTGCACTAACAAACCAACAAAAACAACAATGTAAGAAAAACAACACACACCTAAAAAAATACTCTAATAATAAGACCTCCCCTACACCTATCATGCAGAACATACAGCCGCCCGAACCAGCGCACAAGCCAAAGTCTACCGCACAGAAGCCTAAAAGAAGAGCAGACCGAAACCCCAGACCCAAAAACTGCGACGAAACTTGAGTCACCTAGACAGATCTGACGAGGAGTAAATTCTCAGTTCAGATCTGGCCTTCATAGGACATCCGCACCAGAGAGAAGAAGCACATGCGAAGAACGGCCACGACGAGACACACTACCGCCGCCGAGGCCGAGAAAGGAAGCTCAGCCTCCGGGAGCCTCCAACCAGAAAAACGATAAGGTGGCCAATTTGCTTTATGAAAAATGCTATAAGTACATAATAAATGTACATAGAAGTATACATAATACTCACATGAAAGTAGAGTCCACTTAATTTTTTTTTTTTTGTAGGACCCACTTAATTTTCCTTGCTTTATAAGCCATTTTTGGTCTGGTGTGGACTATGGACCGTGTGGTGTTGGTTGCTGGCATAATTTTCATCTTAATTAATTGTTTGATTTCACTTGATAATTTTGATTCCAAAGTTTCTGAAATCCAGATATTTGTCTTTGGCCTTCCTTGCATTTACCCCAATTTGCTGGTTGCAGACTTGCAGTTCACCAGAATTCATCTTCCTTGCATTTACCCCAATTTGCTGGTTGCACCCCACCAGAATGCATCTTCTTTTTCCCCTCTTATTTCGTGTGAATCATGAGATCTTACCCATCACCTCTTATTAGGTAATGGTTGTCGTTTTCAAATTTGTTTTCGATCTACTACTTTGATTTCATTCAGATTCACCTGAAATTCAAGTTTGTACTTTTCTCCCTAAAAGAAAAAAAAAAGGATAACATTGCTCGGAGATCCAAAAAACCCAGATGGCCTCGATCCGTCTGGAGGCGTCCAAGCAATACTACGCCACCAGCAGCCTTGTTATAGGCTATGCTCTGTGTTCCAGCTTACTCGCCGTCATAAACAAATTCGCCATCACCAATTTCAATTACCCTGGCCTTCTCACTGCCCTTCAATACTTAACCTCAGCCTTGGGCGTCTGGCTTCTCGGGAAATTCGGCTTCTTGCACCACGATCCCTTCACTGTAGAAACGGCCAAGAAATTCCTGCCGGCAGCAATTGTCTTTTACCTGGCCATCTTCACCAACACGAATCTCCTCCGCCACGCAAATGTGGATACTTTCATAGTCTTCCGATCCTTGACCCCACTCCTTGTGGCAGTTGCCGATACCTTCTTCAGGAAGCAGCCATGGCCTTCAAAACTCACATTCTTCTCATTGCTGGTCATTTTAGGAGGTGCCGTTGGGTACGTGGCCACTGATAATGGGTTCAGCTTGACCGCATATTCATGGGCCTTTGCATATCTGGTGACCATAACCACAGAGATGGTTTACATAAAGCACATGGTGACTAACCTAGGCCTCAACACCTGGGGATTTGTGTTCTACAATAATCTCTTGTCATTAATGATGGCTCCCTTGTTCTGGATCGTGACTGGGGAATATGCAGATGTGTTTGCAGCTATGGCTTCATCGGGCCTGGGGGATTTATTCGGGCCTGTCGCATTTTCGGCTGTGTCCTTGTCCTGTGTGTTTGGGTTGCTCATCAGCTTCTTTGGTTTTGCAGCCCGAAAGGCTATCTCGGCTACTGCATTCACTGTTACGGGAGTGGTGAACAAGTTTTTGACTGTTGCCATTAATGTGCTGATTTGGGATAAGCACGCGACTCCCTTTGGTCTGGTTTGTTTGCTGCTGACTATTGCTGGAGGGGTTCTCTATCAGCAGTCGGTCACTGGAGCAGCTGGGAATACTTCAAGCCAGGCAGCATTGTCCAAGCAGATGGAGAGCAAGAATGATGATGGGGCAGAACGGGATGAGGAAAAAGGGATTTCCCGGTAAAATTTTTGGTGTGTGAGCATTTTGATCTTGAATCGGCTGAATTTGCTCATTATTTGAATACGGTGCACTGGGCCTCTGGCTCGAAACTTTTTTAGAGTTATTCATCCTGGAATTTTACGTATTAACTCCTTATTTCCTTTCCGTTGGATTTGCTATGGGAACTTGTCATGTGCCTTAACTTGTAATAGACAAATATTTTTGCCATATAAAAAAATATTACCTCATGGATATATCTTTACCTGTCTGGATCAAATTTCTTTGGTACAGTGCTGTTTCTTTTTATGTTTCAATTGTTGGATTATTTCCATGTTTGCATCGGCTGAATATGCTCATTATTTGAATATCATGCGTCCAACCTGCAGCTAGAATGTTATTCTCTGTTCATCCTGGATTTATAGGAAAGATTCTTTATTTTTGCTCATTGGGGATTGACTGCACTGTAACTTGTAATGGACAAGTATTCTGCCATATGTATCATGCTGAAGAGGGGCGAAAAACTTAAATCTCCTGATTTCATGTTTACTTGTCTGGGTGAAACCTATAATCCGTTGGCAAAACCATATATGGGTACCACATTGGGTGAGGTCCTGCAATGTTTATGGGTTTCAAACTTTCTTCTATTATTATTTCCATGTTTGCCCAACATCTTTACTGGATATGTCTTTTCTTTTAGTTTATTGAAGCCTCTTCCTAAGGCACCTCGGCAGGTGATGATGATCTATGCTTTTCCTTTTTATGTTCATCGTAATAAGCATTGAGTGATATATAGGATATGCCTGACTTCATATTGGTGAAAGTTTTTATTTTTTTAACTGTTGATGTACCATTACTATTTAATGGTGTTCTGTGCAAGATTGTCATCTTGTCTAGCTTTTAGGTGCTTCGTTGTGGAACCCTAGAATGGAAAATCACTTGGTCAGTTTTTATTATAAAAAAAAAAACAAAAAACAAAAAAAGAGTTTAGCTGCAAAATTTGGTGAATTATATGGTGATGTGCAGTTTTTGGAGGCACTTTTACAAATAAATTTGGGTCCCTCAAAATAAATTTACTGTAACAATGCTATCAAACTCAATCTTCCATGAATGGTGCACAACTATTGCCAGCAGCTTCTTTGTACTTCCTCCATTTGCTTATTATAGCCTGGTATTTACCAAGTAGTATGACTGTGAAGACATGGAAGATTGAATTTGATAGTATTGTTACATACAATTTCTCGTATAGTTTAATGACTTCCTAAGCAAAATTCGGAGTAATAAGAACTTGTGGAGTGGGAAAATGGAAGTTTTCAGCTAATTACTTTGCAGTGTGGTATTCAGAATCCTTTCTCCATTACTAAAACAATAAATATTATCTTTTGGGTTTTTTTTAATGCATGTGCGATTATGTAACTTAGCTCTTCTTAACGAGTCGCAGCTTCGGTGGTGATGAATAAATTTCATAATCAACAGACTTCTGTTTGAGTGCTAATTATTTATTCTTCTGTTCCTTAA